TCCATTTCATGGTAAGGAACACAAGGCTTGCAAATGTAACACAGACCTAATATGGCACATGAGAGGGAGAAGGTCCAATCCAGTGATACCTACAGAATAAATGAATGAGTGAGTGACTGAATATGCATGTTTAGGAAGGTGTTAATGGTGGTCATAGGCTTTCCTCATCAACCCCAACTGATAATTGCATTTGTAAATTTATAAACCATTAGCCAGTAATGGGAGACAGTTAGATAGATCCCCGAAGTCTCTCATGATAACAGATGTCTTTATATCTATCAATTTTGTAATTGTGTGGTAAAATCAGATTCAAAATCACCATGGTAGCATACACTCGTAGGAGGAATTCTTTGAGGAACCTGGAGAAAATGCTCCCAGAAGAGCTTCTTCCTTAGGGCCCAACACGTGTTTGCACTCATTCCCGTCTGCGTTCTGTGGCTGTGATAAACACACTTTCCCCCAAACTCAGGACGCCACTTTCCACTACCAAATATATCATATTTGGTCATTAAAGAGCAGGATTCCATATTAATGTTGGCCTTCTTTAGCAAAGTGTTTTCAGCCAAATATATTAAACTAGTCAACTGCCCTTTTCCCCTGTCAGTAAAACAGTCAGTATCCTGAAATCACAGCTCATTTGTACCACACTGGCGTGACTCTTCAGACTCCATTTGTCTCTAGCTCTTAGAGGCTGGTGTTAGAGTGGATGATGGACATTTTGTTTTGAATTAGCAAAAGGGAGGAGGAAAGAAAAAAACCCAAGTAATAAGTTTGGGTTAAAATATGTTTCAGGGAACGCAGCTCTGCCTTTTCCTCTAGGAAACATCTATTTTTAAAAAAAAAACTAGATTTAATTTGGCATTAAGCTGAGCCTGGGATTCAGAGAATAGTAGGAAGGAAAATGTCTTAGGGTTTTTTTTCCCCTAGACTGTTTGTTCTGCTTAAGTCCTATTTGAGTACCGTTGCTCAGAGTGGCATGAGATGTTCACAACTTAATCTTGTTAAGCATCTCAAAGCAGAGTTCAGAAGCAGTTGAGTCTGTGTCCTCTAGACTACTAGAGTCAGAACCTTAGGAAGGACATGATAGTTTGTGGTTCAAAGCTAAATAGCACAATCATTGTTTTCTCTTTACTTGTGTACTCACTCGTGCTTATGAGAACAAAAGCCTGGAAAGGAGTTCTAGACAAAAGCTCCTGGCACTGTTGTGTTTTCCTCCCTGCTCTATACCCCTTCTCAGCACAGTCTTTCTCTGTCAATGGTCATGCCAGGCGGGAAGGGGTGTTTTCATGGAGGGGCCTCTTAAAACCAGGTGCAATTCCCTGGCCGGGTAAACACATTTATCTGGGCAAGGTTACTAAAGCTGCACGTGGTGATGTTGGAATGTCTTCTATCCTCTTTACTATGAAGGTTTCCAGAGTGCTGGGAGTCCCATAGAATGTGTGACCTCGTGTCCCCTCCATTCTTAACCAAATCTGGACTATGCCCAGGCTCACTGTGGATTTTTCTTCTACTATCTCATGACAAGGACCCTGAGAGCAGTCTCCTTGAGAGGAGACTCCCAGGGAAGGGAATGGATTCCAGACCTTCTCCCATATGAGCCTAGTTCTACAGCCACTACCAGAAACCCACAGGAAAGACTCTTCGTTTAAGAAAGCTCCCTTGAGATCCTTCTATAAAAAGCTTAGGCCCACCTGAACCAAAGGAGACTAAGGACTTTGTCAAGTGTTTCTAAGGAGGCTCATTCTGCAAAACTCAAGTAAAGAAGAAGAAGAAGAAGAAAATAAAAACCCAAACTTCTCTTTCCACTCCATCTGGAGCTTCAACTGACTCCAAAAATATTGTCCCACAGTGGTTATAAAATCTCCCATTTGAAAACAAGGGCAAAGCCTTCGAGGTGCTTACAACTCAAAGCACTTCTTTTACACGCTTGTAGGAAAATGATCTTTCTCTCCAAGCCCGTGAGCTGACTGAAATTAATGAAACACAGTCAGGAGGCACCTATGTTGGCCACTGGCCATCATGCATTGGAACAGCCCAACTAGGCCATTCATGGATTGCAAAGGGTTTCCTCTTGCTTTCAACATTTCTCATTTCATATAAATAGCAACTTGCATAAAATCACTGACCCATGTGTCACTGACATTTTGGGCAGCTTCAAGAAAATGGGCATCTTTTTCCTGGCTACTCCAAGAGCACGAAGAAGAAAGTATGGAAGTAGGTCCTTGAAGAAAGCTGGTATCTCAATGTACATTAAAAAAAAATTGGGTAAGGGAGTAAAGAATAAAGAAAAGCAGGAGGTGGCTTCCAGACCTCTGATAGCCTCTTCTGCTAATAATCAGAAAATCACCCTGAAGATCAAGGGTTTCTAATAAGGAAAGAGAACGAAGGGAGAGGGAAGAAAAATCAATTGAAAGCAAGGAGAGAACTTAAAAGAAATAACACTTGGGAAAATAAAAGAGAGATGAATAAATATCTCTACCCCTTTTATTTGCATCATGCTAGCAGAGCTAATTAGGGAAATTCAGCCCAGGGGTAAGTATGGCCCCATGAGAAATGACATTTGATGGTGAGGCCTAGAGAGGGGCGGCTGGTCATGCCAGGGGCCATGATCCAACATGACTGGATCCACTCTCTAGCAGCTTCCTTCTGGTCTGGCAAGAAAACCCTAAAATACCGTCAAAGCTTATTCTGGGGAACACGTGGAGTGGGACAATGAGCAGGGGACAATGGACTAAGGAGGGTATTCAGGGCAAAAGAGGTACAGCCTTCCAACCCTATCTGGAGTCTTTACTTCAAACTGTCTCTTTGGTCATTAAGGAGTCTCATCCTGGCCTCCCCTGCTATCCATTCTGATCAGCTCTGATCGGCTGATGAGGAAAACGGGCCCAAAGGAAGGTTGTCCAAATCCCCTGGGCAGGCACCAGGGGAGTCAGACAATGACCATGGGGGGAGTTAGCTAGAAGGGAGCAAAGGCGGGTGGGGCTAGCCCCACAGGATGGTCTGGGGTATAGCCCCCAAAAGGCAGGACAGAGAAGGTACAAAATAGGCACAAAAATACAAGGGGAGAAAAAATAGACACATTAGCTCATCTACATGTTCTCACACATCTTCATTAGAAGTAGCATGTAGTGTTCGTCCTCGTGGACGGGTCCTTCTCCTGTTACCTACCAGGAAAACTTTCCGTATATAATTTCTGATGGAATCTGTAAGCCACTGCTCCCCTCCCTCTACAGTCTTCCTTGGCGGCCTCATCCACTGATGCACGGCTACTTCCTGCCTGTAGGTGGTGACTGTGAACATCTCTCTAGTTCTCACCAGACCTGCCGACCTGCATATGCATTGGTTTCTAGACACATGCCTTTGCGTGCCCTACATGCTTCAAATTAGTAAGTCCCATTTGGATCCCCAAACAGTATTCTCGTGGAAAGGCCACCATAACTGGGGCATGCTCGTGCTATTTACTGTTTCCTACCTCTTTGGGGAAAAGGTGACTCTCTTGCTATTAGTCAATCATACGTTTCTTTAAATGTTTCTCCTCAGCCTTAACTTATTTCTACCTGTCTTCGGGAACAGCAAGTGAGGAGAAAGCACCTTTAATACTCAACATTTGAAGACAGTCTTAAAGCAAATAAATTATAGGTTCAGAGGCTGCATCTAATCCTCCTTCCATTCATTCATTCATTCATTCATTCATTTAATAAATATTACAAAATGTCTACTGCACACAAAACCTCCTCCAGTGCTATGAGAGATGTAGAAGGCACACTTTCTGATTTCAGAATTTATAGAGTGTCACAGGGAAATGAGAGCTGTACACAAATGACTATAATAGACCGTAGGAACTGCAAATGCTCTGAGAGTAACGTAATCGCTAACGGGGTTTAGGAGGGGACAATCAGAGGGAAGCCCATGTGCAAGAAACAAAAAAATCAGCATATTAGAGAGAGAAAATGATGGCGGCAACATTATGGGCTGAATGGTATTTCCCCCAAATTCATACGTTGAAATTCTACCTTTCAGGACCTCAGAATGTAACTGTATCTGGAGATAAGTTCTTTAAAGAGTGATTAAGTTAAAATGAGGTCTTTAGGGTGGGCCTGATCCAATATGACTGATGTTTTTACAAGAAGAGGAAATTTGGGCACAGAGAAAGACACCAGACAGGTGTGTGCCTAGAGAGATGACCATGTGGAGACACAGGGAGAAGGTGGTCATCTGCAAGGAGGGCCTCAAGAAATCCACCATGCCAACACCTTGATCTCAAACTTCCAACCTCCAGAATGGCAAAAAAAGAAACCTCTGTTGTTTAAGCCACTCAGTCTGTGGGTTTTCACTATGGTAGCCTGAGAAAACTTGCGTGGGGACGGCAGATAGAATCTTGAAATCACAATTGCCTGAGTGGTGTGCTAAACTCCTGAAAGAACTTTTCCACCTACCGGAGCCAAGCTCAGCAAAATTGTGAATGAGGGAAGTGTCCTTTCGTTTCTCCATCCTCTAAAATGGAAATCCCCTCTTTTACCTCTGTAGGTGGTCCCTGTTCTGGTATAAATTTTCCGCCCAGGTGAGAGAGTTTGGTTGAAAGTGAGGGGTTGTTAGTGCTCCTGAAATCACCAGTGTTTGCACAAAGACAAGCTTATTCACCTTGGAAGGCTGACTTGTGTTGTCTTTATTGATTCAAATACTAGCATGTTTCATAGGAAGTGAAGACTTCATTATTGATCCAGGACTGTTTTGTGAAAGATATTATGTTGCAGGAAAAATTCAAAAATAAAGCAAAAAAATCAGACCAGAAAACAGGATACAAGACTTGATAAAGCCTTCAAAACTTCATAGATTCTAACTGATTAATTAGCTGGTAAGGAAAGTAGGAAGGCCACAGCAGAGAACCTGGTTTCTCACAGTGCATCTTTAGATGTAAGAATGTAGAATATCAGGCACAGAGGCTATGTAATTCCTAAGAAAGGAACCCAAAGTATTCATTAAACATAAACTTTACTCACAGGTCAGCAATCAGATGTCTGAGGCTTCTGGTTGATGACCAGTCCCTATGGAATTTGATTTGATGATCTTGAAATGTTCCAATGATACCTGGAAAAAAAGGAGGATAGAAACATGATTAAGTTGAATAAATTTTAGTTAATACAGACTATATATTTTCAAATATTTTTCCTTCAAGTGCTGTTGTTAGAATCTAAAGGGAGAAATAAGGGAGGAGTAGAAATAGCTATTGTACATTTGCATTTTAAGGAAAATTAATACAGTTATTACAGAGTCCATCTCAGAATTATTCTGAAGGTATTATTCTGGAGGAGGTATAGTTAAGACAAACCTTCTGGCAGGGACAGTATCTAATTGCCAAGCTTCCTTTTCACTACTCCCAATCTCCTCGGTATTATTATTTTAAAATTTGAGAATGAATAAAGGGAAACTGAAGGAAGAAAATGTTATAAGTGGAAAACTTTTTTGGTCTGTAGTGTCTGTGTATGTCCATGAACTATCTTGTCAGTGAGACAAAGACAGAAAGACTTTCAAGAGAAAACATCACCTGAATGGCAGAGTGACTAACAGTAGAGTTTTGTCTTCAGATAATCTCTTTCCTTTCTATTTTCAGATTGAGGGGCTAAGGGCCAGAGAGTTGCTAAAGCTCTTACTCCCTGTTTTAAGATCTTTCTCTCTCATCAGTTACCTTGCAACTTCAATAGACACCCGGGTGAACCATTTCTCACTTTAGCCCTTTAAGCCATAGCTTTTAATGCAGTGCCCGACACACACATGCTGGCTGCCCTGGCTCAGAAACAGTTGCCAAAGGTCTCTGCAGGGAAAGCTGAGTCTAGACCGGAGGTAGTAAGGAAGGAAAAGGCCCAAGATGAAGGAAGACGGGAAGGGAGCTGGGCTCTGTTAGGCAAATGAGCCTGTCTTCCTCCCGAGTCCCCATCGCAGCCAGTGGCAAACAGCCAGGCACTAGTTATTGCTCCTTTAATTTAACCATCTCCTCAGGCATGGGGAGAAATGAGTTTTACATGAAAACATTTACTATAGGAGAACCAAGGTGTAATAAAAAGAAAGAAGTAATTTCTTCTCTCTTAATCAGATTTCTAGTCCTCTAAGAATAGTGATTTTCTTAGAACTCTAAAGTCACTGAACAGCATAACAAACTGTAACTAGCATCTTTCTAGATTAAGCAAATAGAAAAACATTATTAGCACATATTTACAGGAGATGGCTAATATCCTATGTTAGAATTTCTACTGCAAGTATTCTCAGAAAGATGGCATTTCCCAAATGGCTACTAAGAGGCTAGTGGTGGGGGAAGAGGGGAGGGTGATATAACTTATTTCAACAGAGAATCATTGCAAAGGTTATATTAGAGATCCTTTATAAAAATAAATCATTGTAAATAGCTGACAAGAACAACTAGATTTTAATTAATTTAAAATTTTATCTTACGTGGTTGAATTAGGGTCTCTGATTTCAACAGTATCATTTTTGTTTTTTTTTTTTGTTTTTGTTTTTGAGACAGAGTCTCACTCTTGTTACCCAGGCTGGAGCATAATGGCGCAATCTTGGCTCACCACAACCTCCGCCTCCTGGGTTCAGGCAATTCTCCTGCCTCAGCCTCCTGAGTAGCTGGGATTACAGGCACGCGCCACCATGTCCAGGTAATTTTTTGTATTTTTAGTAGAGACGGGGTTTCACCATGTTGACCAGGATGGTCTCGATCTCTTGACCTTGTGATCCACCCGCCTCGGCCTCCCAAAGTGCTGGGATTACAGGCGTGAGCCACAGCGCCCGGCCTCAACAGTATCATTTTTATGAAACAATTCCTCAGTGACCTTTTCATAATATGCTTTGCTTTTGTTATGGAAATAATAATAACCATTGTTTGTTAAGTATTTTTCAGTGTTAGGCCCTGTGCTAAGCATACTGCACACATTATTTTTTTTCTTTTAGAAATACCTACATTAGGTATTTCTCCTAATGCTATCCCTCCCCTAGCCCTCCACCCCCCTCGACCCCTCCGACAGGCCCCAGTGTGTGATGTTCCCCTCCCTGTGTCCATGAATTCTCATTGTTCAACTCCCACAAACATGCGGTGTTTGGCTTTCTGTTCTTAAGTTTACTGAGAATGATGGTTTTCAGCTTCATCCATGTCCCTGCAAAGGACATGAACTCATGTTTTATGGCTGCATAGTATTCCGTGGTATATGAGTGTCACATTTTCTTTATCTAGTCAATCATTGATGGGCATTTAGGTTGGTTTCAAGTCTTTGCTATGGTGAACAGTGCTGCAATAGACATACGTTGCACACGTTATTTCATTTGATGACCTTATAAGATGGATATTCTTATCTTAGAATAAGCACTGAGATGTTCCTTGGCTTAAGTCATTTGCCTGAGTTCACCCAGCTAGTGGTGAGGCCAGTATTCAAAGCAGAGCCTGACCCACCATGCTGGGTGTATTTGGTGCATACAGGAGCACATTTGCTTGTTCATTGAGTGAGTTCTCTGCTCCAGGACAGGGCACATGATGATGCACGAGGGCTCTGTTTCCGTGGAGCTTATACTCTGCTGGAGCACAAACAACACGCATACATGCATTTCTGATAGCAAATAAAAAATCAGCAGGATGTGAAGAGGGCCACTGAGGGTCCCTGGAGGTTGGATGGTGAGGGATGGTCTCTGAAAAGGAGACATCTAGACTAAAAATACATTTCTAGGAAGGAGTCTCCCATGTAAAGATCTGAGGGAAGCATGTTCCAGGCAGAGCCCTTGAGAAGCCTGGTGTGAGGCTTTTGAGATGGCTGCATGCTCTGGGATCATTAAACTCTTCCAAGTTACTTGGTGCATGTGAGATTCAAGCTCATATGTCTGTTCATAGAATATACAATGCTGAAAGATGTGCCCGGCAGAGGGTCTTACAAAAAAAGATCCCCACAGGGCTGCCTTTGCTGGAAAGCATGAGAGTCTGTCCCCATCCAGAGATGAAAGTGCCAGGGAAGCATATGGTCCCCGTTGTTTGCAGTGCCTAGAAGGATGGACGTTCCTCACTCCCTCTTTTGCTTGGTAGACTTCAGGAGAGCTGCGTTCTACAGGCTTGCATGAGCTCCTTTCATACGTTAGAGGGTAAGGCAGACCATTTCTTAATAACAGATGGAAAAATGAAAAGCTACAGGATATAACCCTTAAAATGGGAAAGGAATGGTGAATAGCTATTTCAATCATAGTTGGCAGGAAGTCACATAATTTGTGGGGATGGAAATTAAAATAAAATATTTAAAAATAGATTGATGGGTTTTAGTGAGAATGAGCCAGTAATAATAAGAAATTATTAGTTGTCTCTGCTTTACATTTATAGTTGAATATGGGAGCTAGGAGTATGTTAGAAGGAAAGAAATATATGATATTAGAGAATTTGGGTCATTTAAATAAATACTAACAAGTGAATCAACCTTGAACAAGTAATTTAACCGCTCAATTCATCTGTAACATGTAGCATTTGGAATAGATTTGCGACAGTACTTCAATTCAGATGGTTTATTTCTACCATCTTTCCATGAAAAAAAAATGCACTGTGTATGTGAATGACCTTGTTATAGTTTTGAATAAAACAATTTCAACCAAGTTCTCCCTTTTCAGCATGTGCTCGAAGAAGAGTACTGCTTTTCAAGTCCACCTACCCCTACCCCTTCTCTGTTATTTCTAAGAGATGAACGTATTTTATAGCTCTAAGAGAAATGATAATATATTACATAATAATATCTGTAATTTATTGAATACCTACTATTTGCAAGGTACTTGATAACTGTTCTTTCATTTAGTCTTCACAAGAAAACTGTGAAACTAGTTGTTTTTTTATTATTCCCATTTGGATGTAAGATTTATTGTCACATAGTTAATAAATGACCAAGTTGGAATTAAAACCCAGATTTGTTTTATTCCAAAGCTCTTTCCATGACTGGATACATGGGGCAGCCATAGCTGCCAACATTGACACTTTCTTTTACCTTTTTGAGTTCTATAAAACAGTTTTCTTTAAATGTTTTGGAGGAGATTGTTGATGAGTTTGTGGAATGTAGCTAGACTGACTTAAGTATCTGCCTAAATGGAATAGCTTATGGCAGTACAGCGCTTTCATTGAGAACAACTAGAAAATCTGGGTAATATTCCACAAAACCAAAATCAGTTTGGAGGTATCCCAGAGCTGCTGTGGTAACCAGGATTTGAGGGGCCAACATGTTGGAGAGAAGGAAGGCCTGGGAAAGTAATCTCACATTCAGTGATTTCCCCCTTAAGGAATCTGGTGTACCTAAGATACAAGGAACAAGAGGAAACAAGAGAGAAACTAAGTAGAACATTTCTGAGAGACAGAGCAGAGTCTTAGCAGTCTTGTGGAGCTGAGTAGAAAAAACTTTAAGTGCAAGACTGAAGGACCATTCTGGGGTGATAGAGCCATGCTACATCTTATTCATGGTGGTTGTTGTTTAACTATATGCACTTGTTAATACTTGCAGAACTGTGCACTGAAAAGAGTAAATTACACTGTGATAAAGGATCTTGGGATACAACCTTAGTTATTACCCTTGGATATTTCAGCCATGAAGAGGGAACAAACCAGAGGTTGAAGGAGTCATGCAAAATGGAAGATGAATTGTAGATCAGCTCAGCCCCGTTTAACTGATAAGAACATCCCCAACTCTATCAAACAACTAGAAGGTAAGACATGTGTAGGAAAGTAACATCACCCTGCACCTAAATGAGTATTTATATGGAAAAAGGAAAATCAAAACTTGACCTCTATTTGGCATCATTCTAAATGTGAAAATTTACACATTTGTGCTTTCAAAAAAAAAAAAATTCTCCATGATTTTGAGATAGGCAAGGATTTTATAAACATGACATAAAAATCATTAAGTATTAAAAGAACTTGTGTTGCATTAAAGCTAAAAGCCATAAAAAGAGTGAAGAGCCAAGCCATAAATTGAGAAAATAATATTAACAATATGTATGACAAAGAACTTGTATCCAGAATATGTAAAGAATCTCCACAAATCAAAAGGAAAAAGACAGATGGTGTAACAGAGAAATAA